ATGCGGGGCTCGATCCCAGGACCCTGGGATCATGACCTGAGCCGAAGGCAGACGCTTAACCGGCTGAGCCACCCAGGCGCCCCCTGTATTCTGTGTTTTTCAGCGGAGTTACTTATGCTGTAACTGGAAGTTTGTACCTCTTAAGGTCCTTTATAATTCATATTTAAATGTATAAAGCTTGCTAATATAGTCCCCATAAGCAGTGGTTGATTGGAGCTGTACACTTTGTGTTTTGGTATGTGAACAAAGCACAAATTGACTAAAGGGAGAACAGATGCCACTGCTTCTCAGTTCCCACTTGGAGTAGCAGTGTTAACAGGTGTAATGATGACCTAGTTAATACTCAGTATTACCAAAGTGATAACAGGAATTGTAAGAGTATTTTCGGTTGCGTTTTAGAGTTTGCAATTTAAAGCAAATGTTTCTATTGCCAGTTAAAGCAATAAAGTATGTATTTAAGAATGGGTAAGAGAGGGGGGAGTAATTTCTAGAATAAAAGAATATCTTGTGATCTGATCACATGCTTTTCATTTTACAGAGTTGTTGAAGCAGAAGAATGCTGATTGTCGATAAGGCACAACAGTTGCATAAGCAGTACTCATCAGAATTGGTTTGGTGCAGGCAATAGATTTTTGCCTTCAGGGGTTCCTGTGGATCTAAGGAAGGAAGGCATCAGTGTTGGTTAGCACTTAACTAGGGAGTGGTAGTTACTTTAAAAAAAAAAAAAAGTAATTGACCAGATAAAGGGGAGCCGTTAAGGAAATTGGTAAGTGGAGGTAGTAAGTTCTTGTGGTTCTTTATGTGGATTTTTACAGCTTTGGCTTACCTTTTGTTAAAGTCCTGGGGACAACTCTGCAATTTAGAACTTCCTAATTATCGCTGACTGTCAGAAATTTGAAGTAGAAAAATGAAAGGCATGAGTGGTAACTCTCTATCCATTAAACTGTTTGATGTTTCAGCAAGTGGAACATTTGGTATAGTTTATCCAGAAGTAGGGTTCAGCTATAAAGCGAAGGGAGGAGTAGTGTCTGGAGACTAAAGTAACTGGGAACATAGCTGAAATGATTGAAAGCACACTTGAAGAACTGGAAACAATTGGGCCACTTGACTTTTTTTTTAACTGTACTGTTTGTAAGCCTGCTTTACCCCCACCACCTGTCATGGAAACCAGTCATGTTGGAGACTAGAGTCGATAGTATATAAAGCTAATGTTCTCAAAGGGACTGGATTTGAGTTGTTGGGTTAGAAGAACTAAGTACAAAAACTTCCGAGATTTTTTTCATAGTAAAATCAGTGCTATCGTGTTTAATCTTCACAACTGTGAGAAATAGTCCAAAAATTTGTAATCCTCATTGGACAGGCTCTTCTAATCACAGACCATGATGAGGGTATTGACCAAATTTAAGTAGTTGTTGCACTTAACATAGCTGTCTTCCTCAGTCCTCCTGTAATGTAAACTACTTGGGATTATGCTTCTGATGACTTTTTTTGGCTCTGGAGATTTTATTTAGATATCTTGAAAATAGTGTAGAACATAGAAATTAATCATAGTAAACATGAATACTAAATTCAAATTAAGCATACCTAAATGACCATTCGCTGTTTGGCAAATAGTTTACTGACCCAGCAGACTTACTCCCCCATTGGAAAAAGAATCCGTCTTGATTCTTCCGGCTTTATACTGGTTGTAAAAAAGAATGATAAAGAATGTTTTGTTTAACTGGTAGTTGAATATAGGACTTAGATATTATAGATCACTTTTCTCTTTTTGGAATGTTTTGTATTTGAAACTTAATAAAACTTAACATGCATTTTTTGTGGCCCCTGGGTTCTTTTTATTTTTTTGTAATAAGGACTTCAGGCTTTTCAATATGCTGTCCACCTGTCCCCCTCCCGCAAACTCTACTTCTCATGCACTTCACTTTTGAGCAGTTGCCATGGAACATAGTCAACCAAGGTGGTCTGTTTCGTGACTAGGCCCCCTTTATTAGGGGAGTGAGCTTCAGGTGTAGGTATCCAGGTAATTGAGGTGATGGCATTTAATCTTTATCCCTAAGTGGGTAAATGGGAGCAGTGACTTTAAAGAACTAGAAGTTGAAAGACCAAAGATGTACTCTGGTGCTTCTGCTTAACTCTTGGGGGAAAACCGGTCCATTTTAGCTCAGCTTGGTAGTGAATCCTAATTTGGGCCTTCAGCAGTGCTGTTAAACTCAGCACCATATGAATAGTATACTTGTGTATTGACATCATTCTCTGCTTTTGTCCACTGTTCTGTGTGCATTTGACTCCTGGTATACTGTTAAAACTAAAAGTTTAGTGACCTTTGTCCTTTATTCAAATGAAGACAACCCATGGAGTTCAGGGCCTGGTGGAGTCTCCGCTTCTGGTGGGGGGGGGTGTTGGGGTCATGAATGAGTATCAGAGCATTGGAAGGGGTGGTGCAGAAAGGCATTGATTGGCTATGAGGTCCGATAGAAGGTGAAGCTGAGTTGGATTGTTGGGTGTGTGAGTTTTCCTCTGAGTGCATCCAAACATCTTGACAGGTTTAGATTTATGACATGGGCCAGACCACGGGGGCAGCCTCCATTCTAGGGGTACCCGTTACATGCATTAAATTCATCTGCACCTAAAACTTGGTATTTGGGTTATTTAGCCAGTTGAGAAGTAATCACATGAGAAAGTAATGTCTGTTGAACATTAGGATGGCAGAATAAAGCCCTAGGTATTGTCCTGTAAATTTTTTTTTTTTTTAAAGATTTTATTTATTTATTT